ACAATACATTTAAACTGAGCTACTTTAATACCATCTCCGAACTTTCTACCACGACTCTGCTGTTCTTCGGCTGGTTCTTCCTGTATACGTTGATTGACAGATGTCTCGTCCAGTCAGCGGTGAGTAATCCCAAACCAATGGCGCTGTCTCAAACTATACCTACCTCTTCCGGTTTGTCTGATTTGTCGTTGTGTTTTCTGACTTGTTAATTTGTTTTCGGATTTGTCGTTGTGTTTTCTGACTTGTTATAATGTTTTCTGAATTGTTGTTGTGCTTTCTGAATTGTTATTTTGTTTTTTAGACTTGCATTTGCGTTTGTAATTTGTTATTTTGTTTTCAGAATTGTGATTTGCTCTGCACTTCTCGGCCACCGTATATACTAGCATTGGATATGGACCCAAGTTACTCGTTTCGTTCCTGAATGAACAAAATGGATGAGTGACTGATTAAATGATTCACACATAAAGCCATATTTGTGCCACATATCTACATGGGAGAAACAATAAGGGTAGTATGCTAGGTTGTTATTTTGAATTCATCAAGTCTTTTGTTTGGTTCAGGGTTATTGTTAACTAACGTTTTTGCAACTAACTGAAATAAGCTGAAGTACTAAAATTAGTAAAACTAAAACAGAAATAAAAATAAAGGTAAATTACTGTAACGTTAACTGAAATATTACTGAAACTCAAAATATTACAAATACTACAATAGTATATAAATAATACTAAAATAACAGTAATTTAGTTTCTGTTTGAATCAGTGTTTTTAAAGGTGAAAAACTGAAGAAAAAAAGAAAATTGTAATACAAGGTTAAGATGCAGTGGAGCTACCTTTATCATTGCCTGTAAACAATCGGTTGAGTGATTCAATGATTCACTTTTCAAGACACTGCAACCAGCATATCCTTGTATTTCTTGTTTCCTCAGATAGAACTAATCCAAAGGATTATAACAGAAGTCAATCTTAAAACTGGAGAGGCTGAGTGTCAGTTTTACAGACGGGGACTGTGCTACTCAGAAGACAGCCAGAGGGTTCCAGAAATCCAGGCATCTCGTTTTTTATACTGCCATGGTGAACTGAAGAGTACTAAAGGACAGGTAACTGCATATTTTTTATCTGAATCTACATTTTATCTTTTCAACAAATGTATAGCAGATCATTGCAGTTTTTTCAGTGTTTAAACTAAAAGCAATCCACACAGATATTTTACTTCTCATTTCTCCTCTCTAGAAGCTGCATGTGTTCCTCTTTGAGCTGGTATTGGTTTTGACCCGACCAGTGGCACAGGACAGGGAAGGACCAGCACAGTTCCAGGTGTATCGTCAGCCCCTCCCAGCTGCTCACCTCCATCTGGAAGACCTACCTGATGGAGAGCCAAGCAGCTCTGGATCCTTTCGTGGGGCTTTTACCGGCAATGATAAAGGTAGTGGCATTGCATCTTACACTTGTACTCCTTTTTTTTCTTTCAGTTTGCAAGCATATGACGTATGTGGGATTGCAATAAAATGAATTATCAATTACTATTGAATTTGAATAAACATTTTTTAGTTTAACATCAAGTGTTTAATTTCTTTTCACTGTGTGTGTTATATTTTTAGATTATTATATAATATTCAGTATTTTAATATTTATTTTAAAATAATATAAAAAAAAAAATATATATATATATTATTTATCAGTTGCTTAAAAAAATAAGAAAAAATTAAGGTGACTGGGTTTTTTTTTTTTTCAGTTTGCATGCACATGTCATGTAAAGAATAGCAATTAAATGATTAAAATGGAAGAGATTTGAATTTGAATAAACCATTTTTTTTCTTGCAATAAAAAAGGATTTAAATTTACTAGTGATTAAACATTATTTTAAAATGGTTACAGTCATATCAATGATTTTGTTTGACAAAGGTGTTGAATTAAATTCTTTTCACAGGCAACCTAACCTAAATTGTTACATTTTTCAATAGTAATTTATACATTTTTCGATATTTAAAATTCTTAGCATTTTAAAATCTGTTTTAAAATAATTAAAAAATAATAATATGTTATAATAAGTTTGATTTACTATTGCTTTTATAATGCATGCATTATAGGCTTACATTTTTAACTGTTTTTGTTTTTTTGTAATTCTACATGCTTTTTATTTGACATTGGAGGTGTTCTAATTGCTTTCGTTTCATTCTAATTCCACATTTTTCTTCTAACTCCCTCCCAGTGAAGAACTGTTTTCGTGTGAGCACCACAGGGCGCTCCAAGTCTCAATCCCACAGCCTGCAGGCTAATGACTCCTTCAATAAGCAGCAATGGATTTCATGTCTGCGCCAAGCAATGGTCCAGTCACGGGACAGACAGGCTCAAACCAGCCACTGCAAACCCTCTGAGCGTTTAAGCCCTGACCCTGCCCTCTATAACAACATCGCTGAACTCAACCTTAACTCTGATGTGGAGATGCCAGATACATAGACCATGGCTACCGGTGCTTTCCAGTTCAATGGTTCATTCACAAAGACAGGATTTCACTTTTATTGTGACCATGACAGCCAACTTTCTCAGGACAAATGAGATCACACAGCTGCTGTCTCACAACCTGTCTAGAAACTGTGAGAATAAGGTCATGTAGCTATATTTGTATACTTCATATGTGGATGTTTGTTGCTGTCAAATGTCTCATAAGGGGAGTATTTTATATTAGATTTATGCTTCTTGCTTAACCGGTTTTATTGGAATATATATATATATTTTTTTTTATTATTTTTTTTTTTTTTTACATTGAGACTATTATGTGATATTTGTTGGATATATGGTTTAGGCTATGGGACATGTGAACTCTCAGTTCCTCATTCCTTTAAATTGCGCACCATTTCCATCTCATATAGTTAAAGGGATAGTTCACCCAAAAATGAAAATTCTGTCAATAATTACTCGTTCCAAACCTGTAAGATCTTCGTTCATCGTTGGAACACAAATTAAGATATTTTTGATGAAATCCGAGAGCTCTCTGACCCTCCACAGACAGCAAGGTAACTACCACAGTCAAGGCACAGAAACGTAGTAAGATCATCATTAAAATGGTCCATGTAACATCAGTGGTTCAACCGCAATTTTACAAAGCTACGAGAATACTTGCTACTCTCGAGAGTAACACAACGCATGCTGGTAGATGGTAACTCGGGGGAGAAGAATTGTTGAATAAAGTTGTTATTTTTGTTTTCTTGCGCACAAAAAGTATTATCATAGCTTCATAAAATTACAGTTGAACCACTGATGTCACATGGACCATTTTGTCAATGTTCTTGGTACCTTTCTGGGCCTTGAACGTGGTAGTTACCTTGCTGTCTGTGGAGGGTCAGAAAGCTCTCGGATTTCATCAAAAATATCTTAATTTATGTTCCGAAGATGAACAAAGGTCTTATGGATTTGGAACGACATGAGGGTGAGTAATTAATGACAGAATTTTCATTTTTGGGAGAACTATCCCTTTAATAAACAACAACATTTGTGCAATCTGAACGGTAACTAATCTTATATGAGTCCAGGCTTTTTGTCATTGCACTTTGGCAGCATTAGGGCTAACAGTAGGCCTACTGCAAGTCTTTCATTGATATAACCTGAATGTAGCCTAAATGCTTATTTTTCTCTTGATATAAAGCAACTGTATTTACGTTTTTACATTGAAATATCAGTTTCAATATCATTCTGATGGTACAGTGACTTATAATAAGGCGACTGGCCTATTACAAATTTCCGCTAAAAGGGCGGACTGCTTTACGGCAGCAAAACCGCAATCCACTGTCATTACCACAGTGATATATTTACGACAGTAAATTCCACTACTGTAGGGGGCTGCAAAGTCACAAAAATACACATAACTGCATTCAGTTGCTTTAAAGGTATTCTGTGCCAGTTATAAAAAGGTATTCGTTCCCATTTTCCTTTCAGTGCATAATGGTTACCGTTTTGTTTTCAATAAACTGACAACTTCCATAAATGTGGACCTTTTTAGTTTTTTATCACGGTTAACAGCTATCAATATGCATAACATGAATTTCACCTAGAGTAGTGCTAGTTCTCACTTCTAGTACAGGTTTTACTGACAGTAAATTTTTCTATAGGCACAAACCTTGAAGTCTTTTTGTACATTTCTCAGTAATGATATGTTAGTTGTTATGTTATGTTAGCTCAATGTTAATTCTGCCATTAACCCTTAAACGTTGTTCGGGGTCTTTTTGCTGAAATTTAAAAAAAAAAGTTCCCTTAATCTAAATGGCATGAGACTTTGTACCGTTGCCAACGCTTGCTAGCTCTACAAATAAAAAAAATTAATTGGATTGATATCTGGTTTTGTTAGTGTGAAAAAAAATGTCACACTCATGATGTTTGAGACCCTACATTGAAATGAATGGGGAAATGATCAAATCAATACTTTTTCTTTTTAATTTGTCACATAAAATAACTAAATTCACCACAGTGCAGAACACAAAATACACAAACATGAAGTGGCAACCCTTCCACATGTTCACAATGCAGAATGCTCGCGCACACACCCCCACACCCCAAACCACGAAATTAAAAAGTGACATGACAGGAGTGGCCCTCTCTTACATAATTTGTCAAATAAAAATCAGCTACAATGCAGAATACACACAGACATGATGGAGTGACGATCCACGGTGGAGAATAAATGCAAACACACAGACACATTACACCACATACAGGTTTGACTGTAATCGTGTCATAATTGCAAAAAATGATACTTCAGTACAAAACCTGCTAAACTTTGACAAAGTGTCAATTTATTATTATTATAATTATTAATAAATGTTATTTTAATAAATAAAAAATGATAATAAATATTATTATAATTACTGCATTGCAGTTTAATATAATGACTGTGAGTAGCGTGCGGACACCGTCTCCTGTCAGTGTCAAAGCTGTTCTTAAGCAAAGGCGAAGACATCGCTAATTATAGAAGGTCCTAAAGAGAGAGGAAAGATTAGCCATGATTAAAGCTCGTTCACAAACACAGCGATAGGACAGACAGTTGATCAGCAGGTGTAATGAAAGCACAGTAACACTTAAACATTTTCAAATTGGCCTTGATGTTTGGATAGAAACACTGGCGCTGTTTGACCATCAATCAAAAAATAAGTGGAGACGATACTGGGTATTTACGGGTGAGTAAACAAATGTTTATGTGATAATTTTATGTAAATAATACCATTTTTTATGATAAATATCCCTTTTAAAAATAAAACGTTTTTATTTTAATTTTTTTTTCTCTCTCTCAATACTTTTTGTTAGATTAATGATTGTGCTATACTGTTTCTAAAATAATTAATAAATATTATAGCCAACTATCATAACAGTGCTGTCTTTTCTATAGCCCAGTGAACTATCAGCTCTCTTTATATTCACTTTAAGTGGAAAATTCTCTCAATAATTAAACTACATTAAAAATAGATAATGCAGCAGTCTGCATTACCTTTTTTGAGTTCAACTAATTTACACATTTTTAAATAAATGTCTTGACTGAACATAAAATGTCAAGTTCCCATCACTGCAAAACTGACACACTGTCAAACAATGTGACCATATTAAATATTCATGCTACAGTGCATGTTGGGAAGAGGACTGAATCACAAACCAGTTTTTAACAATATGACTTGCTTAATAAATAAGATATTCAAAGGAGTTTTCATTATTCATGATTCCATTCATAGGTTCATTGGCAGGGTTGCCCGGCATGCAGACGTGGTAATGCCAAGAGCTGAATCCGCTGTAATGGACAACTCGTGTCAGGCCCTGTGCCGCACCTTAGTCACTCAAAATGGCCTTCAGCCAGAGAATGTGGACATTTCACAGTCAGTACTATACACATCCATCATGGGACTTCTGCTGGTGACAGACAACGAGGTGAGACAGTGCTGCACCATTGACACATTCTGTCTGAAACCTAATGCTGTATTAGTGTGTTTGACACAAGGCATATATTATATATTGGCCTATCCTGTCAACTCTTATATACTGGAAACAACAGGCCTAGCTTATCTGCAAACCATATTAATAATTAATATATATAAAATACATGTGTTTTTGCACCTGTAGGTGTTCACAGTGAGTTAAGTATATCTGGTCTTAACCTCAGTGTCATATGTGACAGTGTCTTCCCTCCCTGTTATAATTGGATCATAGATCTATAAATGGACACTCAGTCACTGCAGGAGGGACAGTAAATGGCAAACCTGTTGCCGCTTGTGATGTAATTGAGGAAGTCTCACTGACAGTCATTTTTCATCCTACAGAGAGAGCTGCAACTGGGAAATGGACAAGTTGGACTGCGCAACGTTGGAAATACTGTATGTTCTAATTCACAAACAGGCTTTAATGCATATGTTTGCAAGAAAAATAATGGTATTCTCTCCCATCCATATTCAAATGTTCTCTTTTGTTTTTAGTGTTTCCTCAATGCGATCGTGCAGTGTCTCTCTCACACTCGTAGCCTTCGGAGCTACTGTCTGATGAGAACTTACCTTCAGGACAAGCGCTCCAAACAAGAACCTGTGCTTATGAATGGTAGGCACACTTCAGATGTCATTTATTTATTAGGGGTGAAGTGGTGCAGCAAATCAAAATCTGAGTGGTTTGGGATTGGGGCTGCATGGTTATTTAAAAAAAAAAAAAAAAAACGTTTTATTTGAATTATTATTTTATTTGACATTTTATCTATCAATTTAATGATTTTAAAATCAGACATTCCTCTACTCCTCATCTACTTTCTTCACAATATTTTTGTTGATGACTTTATTGTAGAATTCTCTAAAGTTTTGGCTGGCTTGTGGGAATGTAATGGTGGGGAAACCACAGTGAATCCTGGGAAGTTTTATCACGTGTTTAAAGAGTCAGTGCCTTATTTCAGTGGCTATAGGTATGTTCAATATGAATTATTACAGATATCTCTTCAGATTTCTCTGATTAACACAGTATTTAAAATATGTGTTAGGGTATTGGTGTTTAAAGATATCATTCTCAGTTGTTATGTATATAATATTTTGCAGACAAATAATCTATCCATTTCATTTCTCACTCACACACAGTCAGCAAGATGCTCAGGAGTTCTTGTGGTTCCTTCTGGACAGGCTACATACAGAAATTAACCGTCGTCCATCCAAACGTCCTGCAGTTATGGAAATTAAGGAACCAACATACACACGATTCAGGTACTCCACAAAGAGACAGATCTTGAAAGGAGCAATCTGATCTGAAGTCATTTAGATCCTTTAAATCACTCATTGTCTCCAGCAGGATTTCAGAGGAGGCCTTTGCAATGTGGCAGAGGCATCTTGACAGGGATGACAGTAAAATTGTTGGTAAGTAGTAGCACTGTTAAAATAATGATATGATAATAATAAGTTTTACCAATAAAATGAATAAATAATTTTGCATTAATAAGCATACATAAGTCCTGTAGCAGATCTAGACATGTGGAGCTGGTGGAGGTAGAGGGTTTCAAAGAAACTCTAATAGTGCGCTGCAGGACCAGCTTACAACAAACCCTGAACCAGACTATTTAAATGTTGAGCAAGCAGTCTTATTGGCTGCAGAATCAGCAGAGGCCAATCAGCTTGTGTCGTGTAGTAAATGATGTGAATGCTAGCAGATTGCATCTAAAAGACCTATGAGCCTGTGCCATCTAGAGTCTCATGACGGAACTGTTTGTTTGCATAAATTATTCACCTTATTAATGCTTGTTCATTTTTTTTTTTTTTTTTTTTTACAGAAACATTTGACCATTAAACTTTCAAAACGTTTCTGTATTTGATAGATTTTTTTATTTTATATGTGAGTGTGTGTATAAATGTCTAAAAACAATAAAATACCAAAGTAAAATAAGGTAAAATATTATTAATAATTGTGATCATCATCATAATGTATATTTTTATAGTTATAGTCTATTGATTATTTAGTAAATAAAATTTTAAAAACTAAACCCCTGCTCAAGTATTTTTTCCCTTCTGTCACAGATTTGTTCTCTGGTCAGCTGCGCAGTTCCTTACACTGTTCAGTCTGCTCCCATTACTCCAACACCTTTGATGTGTTTTGCGACCTGTCACTCCCCATCCCAAAGGTAACACTCTCAGGCCCTGTCCTCACCTTCTGGTGTTGTGCAGATGATGTGTCATCATTTTTGTTTGTGTGTGTATTGCAGAAGAGTGATTATGGACGAACTGTCACACTGAGAGAGTGTCTAGACCTCTTTTCACAAGAGGAAAAACTTGATAAAGAAAACTCACCGGTGAGTGAAAAGCATTGCTTGCATTTAAAATGGGAACTTCTGCTGATACCCACGGATGTGTATGTTTCTTAGATGTGTGAGCGGTGTAACCGTCGCACTGAGACCACAAAAAGACTGACCATCCAAAGGTTCCCTAGAATCCTCGTAATGCGTATCCTTTTCAGTTGGTCAAAGCTGAGTTGATCAAATGGTGATTATCGATGGTGTGAAGCAGTACGTGTAAGGTCTTGTGACCAAGTACATGCTTTACAAAAGGTACATAGACTTAACTTGCCATCTCAGACTTAAATCGATTTACCATGTCAAGGTACTCAATCTCAAAGAGCACAGTACCAGTTTCCTTCCCCCTAAATGGGCTGGATTTAGGGCCATTTGGACCTGTTGGCTGCGGTGAGCTCTTAATATCTGAATAAGTATCATACACATTATAAATTTTGATTATTGTTATGTGCAGAGGTGTATGAAATATTACTGAATGTTTGCTTTCAGGTCCAGTGCTGTACGATCTTTATGCAGTATGCAGTCATTCTGGCACAGTAAATATGGGACACTACACGGCTGCATGTCGGGAGGAGGAGGGCTGGTGCTACTATAATGACTCATGGTGGGTGCAGCTTTTTGTCTGACCTATTTTATATAATAAAATAATGGTATTTAAAGGCCAGTTTTCTCACACGACGTACAAGAATAATAATTTGTTCCTATTAGAGATAATATAGAAAAATTGTTATTATTTCTTTGTTTGATGACTTTAGAATTTATCGTAATAAAGAAATAATATTTAATTTAGTTCATACAGCAGAGGAAAATTTTTAAACATTAATGCTCTGTTTCTTTTACAGTGTTGCTGAAATAACAGAGGAAAAGCTTCAGTCCAATCAGGCATATGTTCTCTTCTATGAGCTCAAAAGCTTCAATATCACCAGGAAATGAGGGCAGAGAATGTATTTTGAGACTTCAGTGATTATTTGGCAAATTTCAGATACCACAGAAAAAAAGTTGCACTGTGATGTTGGGAGAAAGTGAATGAGCTCGAAAACTGGTCATTTTACATAATTGTTCAATTTCATTGTAAATTCGTGTTACTGGGGTATTTTTACTACACTAAACAATGTGTTTTATTAACTTTATGCACTCAGGAAAGCACATTCTTTTAGAAAAAACGCCTGTTATTAAAAAATAAGTAAATAAAAAATCTGTAGATATGTAAGGACTATTTATTCTGCATTTTTTTATTCTTAATGTAATTTAAACTTGAAATTTGCTGTAATGTGTTTTAATTAAGAGTGGAAAAACAGGGCTGAATTAACAGGGTAATTAATGCAGATGGTGGATTATATAAAACCTTTGTCTGACTGTGTAAGCACATGACCACTGTATATTATGTCTGGCTTTACACATATGAGGATCTCCATCATATAAAATCTCTTGTGCTTCTGTTATGGAATGACATGTAAAATAATGTGCCATAAATGAATGCCCAATCCCTCCATTTTAAATCTTTTTGATCTAGTGTTAAATTTGATATTTAGGTTTAACACTAATCCAGTGTATAAATGTAAAAAAAAAAAAAAAACTTTTTAATGTTTGCTTTAGTGTAGACGTTGAGGGATTTGTAGGTAGTGTCACCCACATTTAATTTACTTTAATAACTTAATATTTTATACATATGACTCCAGTTCACTTATTTCAGTTCACCCTGATACTGCATTAAAGAAATATGTTATTGCAGACCTGAGATAGATAGATAGATAGATAGATAGATAGATAGATAGATAGATAGATTGATTGATTGATTGATTAAGATGACAGAAGTCCCTTATGCTCGCCAGTGCTGCATTTATTGGATCAAAAATAGTTAAAACTGTAATATTGTGAATTATTATTACAAATTTAAAATAACTTTTTTTATAATGATATATTTTAAAATGTAATTTTAGCATAGGCCTATTATAATGACACTGAAGAATGCCAAATTCAGCTTTTTCATCACAGTAATAAATTATCTTTTTTCAAATACATTAAAATAGAAAACATTTCCTTTAAATTGAAAAAAAAAACAAAAATCACAATATTACAGTTTTTACTGTTTTTAATCAAATAAATGCAGCCTTGGAACACATCTTAATTTTCCCCTCGGTAGTGTATCTATGCTAATGATTATGAATGATATAAAAATGTATAAATTACTTTATTTTAATATAACAAAAATATTAATTGAACGGATCAGTCATTCAGTGTTGTATGTACGCTTTACTTTTTGGTGGCTTATTGATTTATAGAGCAAACACCGCCATCTGCTGGGCTGATGTGAAACCTCAAACTTCTCAGCGCAGCCTTCTCCCCCCTCTTTGTCCGTAATGGTTTAACCCGTTGCCTAGGCGCTCGGTCCAAGCTACTGCGAGCAGCTGCAACAAAAACTCGGTAGGCCTCAGGAGATACGACACTCTACTGTTGCATCAATATTTGCAAACATACAGACATCATTAACTGTTTCAAATCGATTCTGAAGGACAACGACAATGGTAATTTGTTTTATTTGTAACAGGCGTCTGCTGGATATGAAAAGAAGCTCATGCATAATACCTGCGAACTAGCCCGTTAGCCAAAGTTAGCGGACTGGATCGTGTTAAGGTTATGAAACTTTTTATATTGCAGAAAAAAATCTAGTATAGCCCGAAGAAGCATTATTCTTGTCAAATACACCCGTGACTGCAGATAAATTATGAATATGTGATAGAAACATTTGATGACGGATGATAATGGATTATGCAGAAGATCAAGTGTATGTCATTTGTTACAGTTGCAGTGTTATTAGTATATAAAGGTTGTTGCTTAAGCTGTATTGTCTTCAATTTAAAGGCATGCAGACTTCTGTAACACGGCGAGTTGTGTTTTATGCTTTTCTTGTTTTGTAATAAAGTGATGATTAGGTCAGAGACTGCCATGGGCGGAGGCAAATGCTGGAAACCACAATCTAAACTTTGTTCCCATAAAAACTCTTGGCTAATTTGCAAGTGATGTACGGACTCCTGTTGAGCTGTAGTCGGCCATGGAAAAAAGAGAGGTATGGTGTCGTCTTTTTTATATTTATAAATATGACATATGCATTAAAGGTTAGTTCATGAAGATCATGTAATTTGCTTGTAATGGTAATTATTTTGTCGGACAATTTGACAAAAATAGACTTGTTGCTTCACTACACAGGGGCTGGTGTTTTTCATTTCAACAGGTGTAATAATCTGTACTTTATTAATGCATCTAATGAAATAACTTTATGACAGTAATTCTCAATCTTTTGTAACCTCAAGTTACTACACACAATATTTCTTCTTGTATCTCTGCTTAAATGATGTTACAGAAAGTTTCAACTTTTTGACTAGGCCCCCATTTGTCCATGATAATATTCGAAGGCCACCCATGTAGGCTCTGCTGTAATAATAAAGCTGCTTGTTTTTTAATTACACTTGATATAAAATGACTATAAATTCAAATTATTTTAAATTATATTAAAAATACAAAATGATAACAATCAAAAATGATAACAACAAAAATAGAATGCCAGCTTTCATCTTGATTTACAGTTGTTTTATCTTATTTAAAATCTTGTTTTGTCTCATTTTAAATCACCGTAAGCATCTTGTGGTCCCCTTGGTAGTTTGCTGAGGTTTGCAGTGGTTGAGAACTGCTGATCTATATGCAGAATACAAATGTTAATAAAATTGAATTTCTTTAGAATCATTCTAAAACATTTTGCAGCACCTTTAAAAGTTTAAAGGCCTCCTAGTGGGTCCTGACCCCACATTTACGAAACACTGCTTAATGAGACAGTATAGTGAGATATTAGGCACCTTTTGAGTTATACTTAACGCCAAGCAATTAGACGTGCTGTTGACAGGGTGACAGAGTGCTGAAGACGGTGTCGGGTAACCTAGGCCTCATCAAGAAAAAAGAAGGCTCATTGTTTTGTTTCGTCCTAAGGAGAAGGAGTTGGACGAGCTCACCCTCCACTTGCAGAGGGACGGTGTGTCCCCTGAGGCTTCAGTAGAGGAGCGTGAGCTGCACCTGTGGCGTTTGCTCCAGCACAGTGAGGGCAGCCTGAGCGCAGCCACTGAAGACCTGCAGACTTTACGCACACAGCAGGCCAGCGAGATGAGAGAGGTGAGCCAGCAGATGATCCACCCACCCTAAAGAATAGCTAATGATGGTCTGCCTCATCAGCACTGTAACATGACGACACTGTTTCTTGACTAAAACAAACTGCTTCTGTAGCTAATGCTTCTGCTGTGCTGTGTGGTTGTTTGATGGGTTTTTTCAAGGTGGAAAATTACGTGGAGCATATTAGAAACATGCTGGAGGAGCGGGAATCTCTTACAGCAGAGTACGAACGGGACAGCGAACAGCTCCGTGCTGAGCTCGCTCTAATGAAACACCAACAGGGTGAGTTTTAACATACTTATAAAAAAATAGGTTGTGGTCTAAGTTTGGTCAGTGAGTAGTTTGGTTGCATGCTACTCATACTGTTTCCACATTGTGCATACTTGTGTACTAAATATAAGTATGCATACAGCATTCTGCAGTGTGCACAGTATGTAAATATTCTGTATGCATAGAACTCATAGATCAGCTACTACATCTGTCAAATGTACAGTATATTATAGAGCATGCTGTGTAGAATACTGCATCCCACAATGCAATGTGCTTGGCTGGACCTGGACCTGGAAGTAATATCAGCCATAATTTTCTTGATCTGACAACCAAGACTTAAAGTGTTTTTACCAGTGTTATTTTAATATTATTTACATACTATTATAGTGTTTTTTATTTTTATATTTTCATTTCAACTTAAGTTTGTTTTAATAATTTTAAGTTCTTTTGTCATTTTTATAATTTTTTTCACATTTATATTTTCTCATTTAGTCTTTTATATTTCTATTTATTTATTTTTATTTCAGTTTTAGTTTTTTTTAGTACTTCAAATTCAACAAGGCCTGTTCACACCAAGAACAATAACTATAAAGATAACTATAACAATAACTACAGAATATTGGTGTCTACACCAACAGACATTAATGTTCTGAATATTTAACATGCTGCTGTAATGTTGTCTGTTGCTTTAAATGCTTAAGCTCTTTAAAATCTGTGGATTCTGATTGGCTGTGAATGTTTTTGATGTTCATCAGCTGGAAAAAAAAAAAGTTGTTCCTTTGTGTCATTATCTTTATAGTTGTGGTGTGCACTTCCCTATTCTCTCCAGAATTAGAATGGTTATTATAGTTATCGTTATCGTTATAGTTAACATTTTGTCGGGAACAGGCCTTTGAACTTACTTTATTTCAGTTAGTTGCCAAGGCAACATTTCTCATTTTCATTTAAGTTTAAGTTTTTCATTGTATTTTTAACATTTTTTTTATTTGAGCTTTATTTCAATTAACTTTTTTTCAATTAAATTTTATTTAAAAATAACAATTTATATACAGAATTGGATTAAAAATGCAAAATACCTTTCTGAGGTGATAAAAAATTGTTTGCAGTATTTAGTGCATACTACACTGTATATAGTAAGTAGTACACTAGTATTCAGTGCAGAACATAGCTCTTGCATTCTGCACAATGTCCTTATAGTCTAGGAAGTGGTCTTTATTCATGTTTTATGTGTCAGACTCCCAGTGTAAGGAGGTGGTGGAGATGCTGGAGCAGGAGGGTCTAGCAGAGATCAGCCAGAGCAGTGCCAGTGAGCAGGTGGCCTATCTGCTGGTGGAGAGAGTCACTCTGATGGAGAGACTGGAGGCTGTGGAAAGAAAACTTGACACCCAGACCCTCACCGGCAACCTCAGAGAGGTGCATCTTCAGGTACTATGAGAAATACAACCTCATTTCAGTAATAGTTTTCATAAAGTTATAGGTCAACAGGTAGACCGTTATAATATCTAAATTTTATTTACACAGAAAATGCTGTGCCTATAGCAACATTCCCCTACTGATAATCTATACCTTGAATGCACTTTGGATTAAAGCATCTGCCAAATGCATAAAATGTACATATTAACATGATAATATTGAATATGAAATATATGTGTTAAAAAATGTGGAGCCTTCTCTTAATAGTAATACCTCAGTTGTGGCTCATTAGTTTTATGGTCTTTTTAATATCTCCTCTCTTATGGAAATCAGGAAGAGCTGGATCATATGCGTCACACATTGGAAGAGGAACTCAGGCAGCAAAAGGAAAACATGAATAAGGTGAGAAGATCTCAGAGTGTCTCATGAACAGGAAGCAACTTCGAAAGCAGCGTGCTGAAGTCAAATCCCATTTATCTATATTTAAGTTTTTCATTGTCCATCTCTTAATATGTTCTGCATCATAATTTTTCCTGATTCTTTGTCCCTCCCTAAATGGACAGGAATCATCAGTTCAGAGTCCTTGGAGGAAGTTCTTTGGTGTGCGCAAGGCTACACTAAGAGCACAGAACCTTCCTGTACGTTTCGATTGGACTCATAAAAAAGGCATGACAGAAGTGTAAATCAAGAGAGGTGGAACCTTTCTGTATTGTCCTTGAGAGGATGATCCACTTAAAGCAGATTAGGGCAGCTCCGTGGTCACCTCATGAAATAATGCATGCCTTGGTTGTACACAATGCAGAGAATAACAATATCCTCTCACATTCTGAGCTTAGCATGATCACATTAACTCCTCTTACTTTCACTCTGGACCCTAACATCACTATGGATCCTTTGATTCAGGGTGGTTACTAACCAGTGTTAGTATAGTTGTCTCTGATGGTTATAAGGGAGCAGGTGCATATTAAACTCTGTTCACACTGGAACATGATCCACGTTCAGCTTCACCTGTGGCTCATGCATGTTAAAAACGCATGGATGCTGACATGCTCCTTGCTTATCCACCGAGTAAAACCGGGTTTACGTCTCACTGAAAGCTCTGTCCTCTGTAGGACCACAGTGAAGAGTTCAATAGAGAATGCACAGTGTGCCAGAGGCTGGAGAGGGATCTGGAAGAGGCATCGAGTCGTCTTGCTATGGCACATAAAGAGATTCGCCACCTGACGGATGAACTAGATCTCGCTCGTAAGGTCCAAAACGTGTGTGGTAAGTAAATTCAGCATTCAGCTTAAAAAAGCCCTAACGGTAATTATTAATGATGCTGTGATAGTATCGATAAGCTGATGAGAATTATTTTCATGTTATGGCTGATAAATGATAAATTACTGATATTGAAAATTCTATAATATACTTCTATGAAGTATTGAATGAATGATATTGTATGTATATATTTTTTGAAGTAGCTTATGCTCACAAAGGATGCATTTATTTGATCTAAAATACAGTAAAACAGTAACATTGTGAAGTATTATTACAATATGAAATTACTGTTTTCTATTTGAGTATTTTTTTTTAATTAAATTTATACCTGTGATGACAAAGCTGAATTTTCAGCAGCAATTACTTCAGTCTTCAGTGTCACATGATCCTTCAGAAATCATTCTAATATGCTGATTTGGTGATCAACTTTTATTATTATTATTATTATTAATATTGAAGGCAGTGTTATTGATAGACACTACATTTTTTTATTTTTTAGGATTCTTTGAATAGAAAGTTCAAAAGCTTTTATTTGGAATAGAAATCTTTTGTAACATTACACCTCTTTACTGTCATTTTTGATCAATTGAATGTGTCCTTGCTATATGAAATTACTAATTTCTTTCAAAACTGACCCCAAATGTTTGAACAGTAGTTTAAATAAAAAAACAATAAAAATTAAAATTTTAAAAATTAAAATCAGATTACTTTGTAATTGCTACATATGAATTTAGGGATCAAACCATTATAATGTGCTGTAAGAAAAGTGGATATTCATTTTGAGATTTGCTAAAGATTGCATTTGTGTTAATTCTTTTTAAAGATTAACTTTTAAATGAGTGTTAGATGACAGTAATGGTAATATAATCTGAATGTGAAAATATAAGTGATAAGTATGAACAGTTAAATATTGAATATTAACTGATGGCAATAAATTAAAAAACAACCAATATGTTTCCATTATGTTGTGCATCTCTAGTAATTATTATGTTTTTATATGCAACTAGACTAGCTATTTTCACCGTTTACATGACCAAGCATCACTTATGTCATCTTTAAAAAATGTAAAAATCTAGTTTTAAATATTTGTTTGCAATTTTGCCTTAGCGCATAATGTAAACTCAAAAAAAAATTTGAATTTCAGTACCTGACCTGCAGAAAACTGGGGAGGAAGTTGAGCAGTTGAAACAGGAAGTGGACAAGCTTAAACAGTGTGGTGAGATTGTGTCTGATACTGCAGCAAGATATCACGTGTCTCTTTAAAAACTTCTCACATTTGGTCATGGTTTATGACTATATTCAAGTTTATTTATAAAACACTTAAAAAAATTACAGTGTAGACAAAGAGCTGTAAATAAAGACAGAACAAACCAGACAAAACATAAAAAACATTTCAAATGATGTGTTCTGGTTGTAATCCACATGTTGGACAGATATGGTGGAGCTGCAGAAGGCCAAGGAACGCAATGAAAGATTGGATAGTGACATTTGTGTTCTAAGGGATAGAGTTCGCTCCTTGGACACAGAGAGGAGGACTCTTCTTAAACTGGCAAGAATAATTTTTTTTAACTGCCACTACCTATCAGATAGCAAAGCATTCTTTTATTTCAAAGCAGTCTTATTTGCAAACAGAGAAATTATATAATTTGCCATTTTGGGTGTGCCACAGGTTGAACAATCAAAGCTGCACTCAGATCAAGGGATCAAAGTGACATTAGAGCACAATAAAATTAATTCTACACAGGTACATATACAATACACACTATTAAAATCTTCTCCTAAAGGGTTATATATTTGCATATGCATATATTATATACACAAGTATTTTAATATTTGTATAGTTTCATCTGAGAGCACTTTACAGATGTTTTTTTTTTGTCAGGGTGTCGGGAATAACGTCAATCCTGATCCATCACTGAATGCAGAGGATGAGATACTCCACAAAAGGTGAAGCTTTGTCTTCTTTTATCCCACTTAAAGTTGTACATGCCATTGATTTAAAGATGCTGATATGGCAGTTGTGTGTCAGCAGGTGTCGGAGAGAGTCTGAAGATAAGGACAGCCGTCTGCGAGAGCTGGAGAGGAGGTTGCAGAAGCAGCAGCGGGAACACGAGGAGCTGGTGGAGCGCAATGAAGAGCTGGAGGCGCTGCTGGGAGAGGCGCAGAACACAGTGAAAGAGGAGCGGGAACGTCATGAGTGTGTGATAGAGGGGTTACAGAGAAAGGTGTGTTTTTAGCCATCGACGTGGGGCTGAACTTGATAAGTAACCACCTGAATGTTGACAGTGACTCTGATTTTGGTTCTAGATTAAAAGTATTGAGGAAGAACTGAGTAAGAAAAATAGTAAGAAACCTGAGAAGAAAAATGAAGATCAGGTTCGTGGGACTAAGTCTGAGGTAAAGGTTAAGACAATGTGAAAAAGCCCCTTATTTGTACCCTCTGATTTTGTGGTAGGAGAAATGATATTTTCATGATCTTTTAATCCAAAGCTTAGCGAGAGTGTTCAAGAAAGACTTAAGTTCCTTGAGGGTCGACTTGCTGAAGAAAAAGGTTGGAGGAAACAGCTGGAGGTGGATCTGTCTGTAGCCAAAGCTGCTCTCAAAACGGAAAAAGAGGTAATGTCATTGTCACACATGACTAATCATAAAATAGACATTTAAAAGTCCTGGAAAGATATTCATATTGCACTATGAATTTGTTTAGTAGAATTATAATAAAGTGATCTGAAACCATAAATGCCACATGGTTATTTTGAGGACAGGTCATGCAAAGAGACCATGAGGAGCTGAAGAAATTACGTGTGGAGGTCCAGAGACTAGAGGTAGAATGTCGACAAGGGAAGACACTTAACAAGAACCTCACACAGATTAAAGGAGAAAAAGGAATTTTGGAAGAGAAGGTAATAAAAATTAAGGTCATTAAATTATAGGGTTATATCGCAAAGAATGCAATCCATTTGTTGTTAGGATGCTGAGATATACTTCCTGTAGCTTGCAAATACTCACTGAGGCTATGTTTGTACTCTGCAGGTGGCCCAGTTGGAGCGTGCTCAGACACGACTCCAGGACAACCTGACACTTCAGACAGAGAACAGCCGGGCCGAAGAGGACCTGAGAGACAGCAGGGGACAGGTGGCAGAGCTTAATTCTATGGTGGACAAGCTGAGAACAGAACTGACTCGACTGGAGAAGGAGCACAACGCTCTAAGGTAAGACACCCTTTCACAGATGCATCACTATTTTCCTGCTTTTTCGTCTCTGTATGACAGTGTTTTTTGTTCAATGTAGCTGACATTATCCCATCTTCAATAGAAGCTCCTTGTCTCTGTAGAAAGCATGTCGTAAGATGTTCCGTGTCTATGTGTTAGGGATGAGCTGATGGAGAAGCGTGGGCATGTGATGCAGCTACAGAAGGAGCTCAGTGAGAAAGCCCACAAGAGGCTTGAGACTGACGGTGAGAGGGAGAGACTCAGTCTGGAGCTCCTGCATGTGAAACAGCAGCTCCAGTATGCTAGAGAGCAGATACCCAAAGCATCACAGGAGCACACGGCCAACCACAAGCCCGCTGCAGAGGATGATGGGCTTTGTCAGGTAGGATTCCTTTATAAGGTGTTTCTTCAATTATGCATGGTTGGCCCTGTGGATTTTTAGGGGCAGTGTAGCCTGATATTTTAAAGATCTAGGCTGGTGAAATACCATTATATCTAAATGACCACGTTCCTGAATACTTTTTACATTACTGTTCAATAGTTTGTGGTTAAGATTTATTTTAATATTTTTGAAAAGAGTCTCTTAAGATCACCAAGGCTGCATTAATTTGATAAAAAATACAGTAAAATATTTTTTAAAACGTGATTTTTTTTTCTGTGATGGCAAAGCTGAATTTTCAGCATCATTACTCCAGTCTTCAGTGTCACTTGATTCTTCAGAAATCATTCTAAAATGCTGATTTGGTGATCAAGAAACATTTCTCCTTATCAATATTGAAATCAATTGTGTTGCTTAATATTTTTGTGGAAACTGTTTTTGTACATACATTACAAAATAGAAAGTTAAAAACAACAGCATTTATTTAAAATAGAAATCTTTTGTAACATTATAAATGTATTTACTGTTTCTTTTGATCAATTTAATTTGTCTTTGTTCTGGTTCTCGTTTTTGTCTAATACATGTTCTGAAATGAGGAGGCAAAGTCATTATTTTTTCTCATTTTGTTTTTAATGTTTTTAATCTAATGTAAATTCATGTATCAACTTAATGTTGACATTTTTTAAAGTTAAATAAACATTGCATACACTTCACATAAACAAAAATAAAATTATATTTTCTGTCTTTTACATTTACGTTCTATCACGTATATTACATTCATCAAATTAGAGATTTTTAAAGGATTTCTGCACATATATTAATAACTGTAAGATTTCAGATGTAGAATAATGACAGATTTCAGATTTCATTTATATTTTACTGATGTAAAGCAGTTATTTTTAAAAGTCAACTTAAAAAGGACAAAAAATGTAATTGAATTAATGAATTAATGATGCATTTATATAGCGCTTTATTGTGTATTGCTGTATACCCAAAGCGCTTTACAATCATGTGGTGTGGTGGGGGGGTCTCTCCTCAACCACCACCAATTGCTGACCCCAACAACCAATTGCTGACCCCAAACTTTTGTTGTGTAAATGGGGTATTGGGCTGTTTGCTTGGAATCATGTGTAAGCTGTTTGATGTTATGTGCTGCTCCTCTAGCTGGCCTGTGTGAAGTCAGAGATGAGTAAGCTACACTCCACCCTGGAGGAGGAGAGACAGCTGGCCCTGCAGGCCCAGATCAGTGAAGCACAGGCCAGGGCTAAGGTCAGCTCTGCTCTCCAGTCACTCATACACCCACACAAACATATTCACATTCATTTTTACTTTTATTCATGCACAAAACATTCTTAATTTTATTAATTTGATTATAACACAATTGTTTTTTAATGTTCTCCCTGTTTGTCATATATAACGTGGCCATTATGTGATTGTCCACAGGCTCAAGACTCACTGCTCCAACAGAAGGGAGAGGAGAACAAACAGTTGAGACAGGACCTGCAGAGAACCCAGCATCTCTTCACTTCTGCTGAGAGAGAGCTGCGCTATGAGAGAGAGAAAAATCTAGACCTTAAGAGACACAGTGCACTCCTAGACCAGGAGAAGATCAAGGTTAAAAAAAAAAAACACTTGTGCCGGGTGCCAGAAAGTATTTGGACCCTTAAGTTACACTTAAAATGTATGAATGTTGTTCTGTTGATTTTAATGCTCGGAAACCTTATGTTTCTGCTCCTGATAGCTGTGTGCGGAGCTGAAGCAGGCCCAGGCCAAAGTAGCCCAGCTGGAGGGGAGCGCAGCAGGACATGTGGCAGAGCTGGAGAGACTCCAGCAGAGGGTCAGAGATCTGGAGCTGGAGGTGGCCAGAAGCGCTCAGAACCGACAGACTAACAGCAGCTTGATGGAGGAGCTTAATTCCGAGAGAGCACGTGTGATTGCTGCTGACAAGAAGGTGTGTGTTTAGAGCAGATTGAAATTCTTCAGTAGTATAGCAGTTATGAAGAACATGTTACTTTAACATCTTTGCAGGTTGTAGAACTGCAGCAACAACTGAAGAACACACTGCATCAGCTGCGTCTAGAGGAGGCCAGAGCGGGAGAGACCAGCAAACTGGAGAGAGACACCAGAGATTTGTCTGATAACCTGTCTGCCCTCAGAGCCCGACTGCAAGAGGAGCAACTACAGAGGTTCGACAGGTCACTGCGTCACAATTAGTGCTCATTTTGGCAGGTGTTTTTTAATTTAGTCCTGTCAAATGTTCTTTTTAGTTATTATCATCTTTAGTCAAGTTTTAGTTGAGTCTGGAAAAAGTCTAGGAGTTTTAGTCAATGAAAAATTGTCATATTATAGTCATGCTGCATAGTGGTTAAACAAATACACACAAAATAGCTGCAGTTCTTGTAATATTAGAAATATAGAAATCAGTTTTATATAAGGTTATTTTACCTCATTTAGTTAAATTGTCATATAAATGAACACACTCTCTACATTATCAAAACTGGTAAAAGTCAAAAGCTAAAACAGTGAAATGCCTAATATTAATTCCAATAGATTAAATCAATGAAATCCCAAAAATTATATTGATGTTTTGTATTACACTTCAATTTGAGCATAATATCTCAGTGTATATCACTAAACTCCAACATGCATGTTTATCCATTTTTTCAGGTCATCTGGACTTTTTCTGCAGTGTAGAGAGAATGTGTGCTCATGGTTGCCAGGTTGTGAAGATGATTTAAAACACAGGGCAGAAAATCTTGTTTTTTTAAGAGCAAATCTCTGATTGGGGATTTAAACTCTGGCAAACCCAAACATGAAAATTCTTGGAGGTCTATACTTTTTCTTTTTTGTTTTGTTTGAGAAAGTATAAAGATTTTGCGTTTAGAGAGTTTATATTTTTTAACTACATTTTAGTCTCGTCTTTTTTCGTCAATTATATTGCATGTTGATACAGTGTTTAATATTGTCCGTGTCACCTCGTCTTCGTCTCATCTTGATCATGGGAAAAAAGTTGTCAACAGATATTTTTCATCATAAAAATAACAAAAATGAACTAAATTAACACTAATCGCAAGCCAATATACTTGTAGTGGACTTTAAGATGACTTTGTGTTTTCTGACAGGAAATTACTTCAGCAGAAAGATGAGGAACTCCAGCAGCAGGTGCGCTCATTGCGGGCGAAGGAGGCAACTCTGACACGCAGCAACTCGGAGATGTCTCACCGCACACAGGAGCTGGAGATGCGGCTGCAGGTGCTGGAGAGTGAACTTAACACAGCTAGAGAAGAGGTTTGTGGGGTCTCAACTGAATCTGAATTCTGATGAAATTATGGGTCAGTGGAGCTCCTGACCATGAACTACCAATGTGTCCTGCAGCAGAGAAGCAGTCAGAAGAGCTGCCACAGGCTGGAAGAACAGCTGCTGTCTTCCCAGCATGAGTCTGAGAGACTGCAGGAGGAACTGAAGCTGGTCATTCAGCAGCTTGACACTAACATCAGGTATCATTCTTTACTGAGTGAACATTGTAGTCTAAAGGCTGGAATACGCTACATGACTTTTATTTAGATTTTTGCCCTGATTTGTAGTCTGGAGGAGTCAGTGCTAGTTAAAGAAAGCCAGAGCCAGTTTGGAGATTTTGGGCAGTCAGAGTTGAGAGATTTCACTAGATTAAAAGTACAAATATTAAATGCAGTGTGTTAATATGAAATGGCGAAACTCATGTTCTGCAGGAGATACAACGAGAAACAGTCTCAGCACAAAACCAAGTTGCGCAGTGCTAAACAGATCTTCATGAAGACAGTCACCCAACATGAGCACAGGATCCAGCAGTTAGAGAACGATCTGGCTCTTGCGACAAGTCTCTCAGAGAAAGTGAGTGTTTTCTTATCTGACCTTTAACACTACATGCGTAACTTGCACTTCGTCTTGAGTGTATTACACTATGAGCAGGAGAAGGACTGGATTAGGATTGTAACAGAAGAAAACGACCAGCTCCTCCTGGAGAGGCGAGAACTTCTGCAGCGAATAAGTGAAGCTGAGGAGATGGGAAACAATGGATTAAGGACCGCCACTACCATCCAGCAGAGGTAAAGATCTCATGGCCTCTTCCACATCTATCAGGAAAGCACAGAAGCATGCTAACTATCTCTTTGTCCTGTACTCTCTTAGAGTTAAATTCCTGGTGATGGAAAACAAACAGCTGCAAGAAAAAACTCTAACACTGGCCAATCAGATAGGAATTTTAGATCGCGCATTGAGAAACCTTCAGTCGCTGTGTACTGTTGAGGTACACGTTTATTTAGCAGTTGTTCTTTTTATTAGTATTTAAATAAACATTTAAAATTATTGATTGTACTGATGTTACAATTTTGTGTGTGTTTCTGTCTTAGGAGGTCAAGAAAATGTTTCCTTCTGGATCTCATCCTGATGGCCAGCTGCTGACATCAACTCCAAGGTATAATTCAGAAATATAAATTTTTCTGTCTTCCAACTTACTCAGTATTTCTGTTCCAAAATCTAGTCCAATCAAAAATACATACTACACAAAATTTGGGGTTATATAATGTCAATTTCACTATTACGAACACTATTACTTAATGTAAGTATTCACTATACACAAGTTTGGGGTCTGTAAGATTTTTTTTTTTTAAAGAAATTAATACTTTAATTCAGCATGGATGCATTCAGTTGGTCAAAAGTGACAGTAATGATTTTTACTTTCATTTTACAATGATACAAAATATTTTTATTTCAAACAAATGCTTTTTTAAAACGTTCTATTCATTAAAGAATCCTGAAAAAATGTGTCACGTTATTTTAAACAGCACAACTGTTTTCAACGTTGATAATAAGATATCAATATATTAGAATGATTTCTGAAGAATCATGTGACACTGAAGACTGGCTGCTGAAAATTCAGCTTTTGTCATTACAGTAATATATACAGGATATAAAATACCTAAAAAAAACAGTAATTTTAGATTGTAATACTTAAACAGAATATTACCTTTTTACTGTATTTTTGCTCAAATAAATTTAGCCTTGGTGAGCATAAGAGACTTCTTTCAGAAACATCTTACTGACCCCAAACTTTTGAACTGTAGTGTATAATCTTGCCTCGTCTGCCATTTTGGAATTATTTTTCTGATGGGGCTGCAGTACATTATGGGATTATTTTTCAGTCTCAGTAACCAAATTGTGACATTTTACATTGCATCTTGCTGTAGTCCCCAGCCTGGGCTCTGTGACTCATGGGGAATATTGGATGCCATTCGCAAAGTCAAAGTGGGTGAGTCTGGAGTGAAGAGCCTGGAGATCTCCTCGTCTGTGCCCGTTTCACAGTCCACTGAGATAGGCTACCTGAACGTGACCTCACCTGTGGCTCCCAACAGCAGGTTAGAGCAGGAAGAGAGTCTCAGTGTCACAAGCGATGAGGCCTGAGGGAGTTACAATGACTTGTGAAATGCCATTACAAGGCTTGCCAATCTGAAAAGTCACTGGAGCAGTCAAGGCTTAAAAATAATTGAACTGTAGATGGGTAAAACGCAGACAAATAGTGTTTTTGTGGCACTGTGACGGTCTATGTCATGTTTTCTCTTCAATTAATTTCCTAACACTAAAAGCGAATGTGAAGAGCTGGATTATTGCTCAGGCTCATATCACCTGGGTTGAATTCTGTTGCATTGCCTTTGTGACTCACCTAGAGTCAGTCTAGAAGGCCTGAGATTTTATATCATCCACAAACATTACACTTCATTGGATGTTATGGTCAGTAGCCTTGTCACATCTATAAGATGCCATATGTATTTTTTTATACATTTACCCTATAATGGTACGACTATGGAGAAGCACTTAAAGCACTATTGATTTGACGTTCAAATGGTACAATCTACAGGTGTTTACAACTGAAATGCACTATTGCCTTTGGATAAGCGGTAAGTATTTGAAATCAAGTGTTTGTATATTTTAGTGCGATTTGGTGTAAATGCCACCTGATACATATCTTGCAACCCTTGCATGTGTCAGTTGACCTTTTCTCATTTTCTGTGCTGCTTTTGAGTGAACAAACCTGGTAAAATGTTACATGGAGCTGAGATTACTACACTCTTTGTAGATAAAAGCATGTACACTATTGTTCAAAGGTTTGGGGTCAGTAAGATTTTTTTTTTTTAATTTTAAAGAAATTAATAATTTTATTCAGCAAGGATGCATGAAATTGATCAAAGGTAACAGTAACATACAGCAGCAGCCGTGTTCATCGGGTTTTGTCAGATCAGTGTGTTACCCCCAGTCGGCATCTGTTGTCCTCTGTCTGCGCTTGTTTTCCTCGGTTTGAACATGTTGAATTAGCGTTTGTTGGGTCTTGAAATGGCATACATTACACGGTCGGTTGTCTGCATCTGACGGTGCAGTGTAAATTGGCCTTAAGAGACTTTAAAAAAAAGTATTAAAATTATCTTACCAACCTTTTGAATGGTAGTGTACATTTGTGAGACAATTCACATGAGTTTAATTCACTTTGTAAAGACAAATGCTATAAAAGCTTGCTGGCTATATATCATCTTTTCAGTGGATAGTTCATCATCTGTGTCGTTGCCCAGATTTTTTTTTTTAGATTATTTAGTATGATTGTATTTCACACATTCACTATATATTTTTTTCCATTGAGAGGAAAGAAACCACAGCCATGAAATGTCAAAATATTTATTTAGACCTTATGTGTAGTATATGCTTTTAAGTACTAATGTAAGCAATGTAGTTGTGATGAATAATTTATCATGGAAAAAGTTTGGTCTGCTGGTATTAAATTACACTGAAAACAAGATTTGGCTACTGACAAGAAAACAGACATGGTAGCGTTATCAGCCTTACTGGATTGTTGTTTACTTATGGAATGGGGTGAAATGGGAGTTTTATAGATTTTAAAAAAATAAATTTTTGCACTCCCTTTGTGTTTTGTACATAGTCCTCAGAGACTGAATGACCTGTGATCTGGGAGCAAAGTCATCTGACAGAGGAGAACTGTTGTATCACTTTGAACCAAGTGGTGCTTATTGCAGAGCCAAATGACATCCAGCTCCACATCTATAGACCTAATGGGTGGAGCTTGTCTTATTTCTGTTTAGGGGTAGGGTGTGGCTAGACTGTCAAGCTCCACCCATTGTGTCCAGAGAGGAGGAGTTGACGTCAAACTCCACCCATTGGCTCTGCAGTGAGGAGCCTTTGTTTTGAACTGTGGCAAAAGGATCAGGATCCTGTAGTTGTGCCTGTACATTATGAGAGCATTGTACATTGTGTCCTGCTGCTATTCGATATTAGGATGCAACTTTCACAAAATATTAACATAGGGCTCATGTCATTTAAATTGCGGAAGACATCAGTGTACACGCTACACAAAGCATGTATTTTCTTAATAAACTTATTTTCAAGATGCCTGTTTGATTGCTTCAGTCAATTTGAATTACTTAATACGTACTAACAAAAATATCCCAAAATAGGTGTTTAGGTGATGACATTACCTAAATACAGATATTTTCATGCATAATTTTACTAACAAAATTAATAAAATCTAATATTGAGTTTTGGGTAACACTTTACAATAAACTCTTAGCAAACTTTAATTAATGCATTAAATAACATTAATAAAGGGCACTACATTTGTGTCAGTATGTATTATTGTTAGTTAACGTTAGCTCAGGTCAATTAAATTATATTAACAAATACAACTTTTGATTTTAATAATGGTTCAGTAAATGTTGAAATTAACATTAGCTAAGATTATTAAATGCTTTAGAAGTAGTTAACACAAAGAGTCCCTAAAAACATAATTTGCAATTGCCATCAAAGTAAGGACTTAGATTTAACGACAAAAGGATTCAAGCTTCAGTCTGATGCAGTGGAAATTAATCTGTTACTTGCAAACTTTGAAAGCAACTCTGCAGAATTGTATCAATATTGTATCCATATCAAATGTGGTGTGCCCAGTGTTTACAGTATTCACTCTTCTGACTCCAGTGCATTTAAAAAAAAAATACAAAGGCTCAGGTATAACAGTCTGAATTTAATAAACAAGATAGAGATACAAAGTGTTCTTGACATTGATATTTTCTTAATTCACCTATCAGTCTTGTCTGTGCATATTAAACAAAATCTTCATATGGAACCACAACGCAAGACGAAGGAAAATGTTAATTATTTCAGAACATACATAACAATGTCTTACGTAATACATGTTAACAGGTAATAACGGTTACTGTGTTCCATGCGGAAAAAAGGCTTAAGAAAACCGAATATTGAAAAACATCGACATGGAAGGGAGAAAGAGAAAGAAACCGGTCTTTCAGCGATGATAAAATTAAGGCGTACACATAAAAATGACAAGGATGCCTATAAAAACAATGATCAGTACTTGCAGAAAAACAAATATTAATAAGTTGAAAAATACTAAACAGATACAAAAATGAACAAAGTACAGTATCTAAACCTTGCAGTTTGCACTATCAATGAATACAGGGTATATTTTATAGTAAATGTACATGTCTTACTGATTTAAAGTGGATTTGAGGCTGAACAAGCCAGGATTATACTGTAATGTAATAATCTATTCCTGGCAATAAACTGAGGTTTTATAAAAAGCACCAAGAAGTAGATCCTCATCAAATTGCTGTTTATCTAAAATTGTGCCATTCCCAAATATGAAAGAAAATTTCTGTTTGCCCAGTAAACCATTACTGTGTAACAAATCGGCTAAACTGTATATATATAATGTCTATTATATATATATTTTGGGGTATTTTGAGAGCATTTGAGAGCAACAGCTTGGTCCTTTGCAAACAAAAGTTTCCTAAATATACAGGAATTAACAAAAACAAACAATAAGCTTAACAAATGACTGGTATAAATGACCACAAAAATAAATGAATGTTGTAGAGCTGCAGTGTTGTGGCCTGGGAAATTACATACGGTAAGTTTGATCACATATGATCAAATTTGGCTAGAATAATTCAATAAGACCATGTGTGCTTTAACTCAGTAAGAGCATTTTATACTGCTGCCCACTACTGTTAAAAATGTTTTATCAGCTTGTATGCTGGTTTGCTTGTCAGAGCAAATATATACTGTATATTAAAAAAGAAAAAAATCAGTTTAACATACCAGATTTACATAGTTATTAGTTTTTGGATTAATTTATGTAACAGAAACGCAACGGTGGAAATGAACACGACTACATTCAAAATTAGCTTTTTTTTTTTTTTTACTTGATTTTCTTAAAACATGATTACTGATATTTTGGTATACAAAATTCTAATTTGACAAATAAAAACATTTCAAAATAGGCCACTGCTATTAGATTATATCGTAATCTAAAAAAAAAAAACTCGTGAACACTTTCCATCGGTGTAAATTAATGTCTCAAGGTGCTTTTGCATTGCTTCAGAGGTCACGCTACACCGTAAATGTCTGATTTAGTTAACAACACTGAACCTGTGTGACACTTCTTCTGTCACATCATGACCAAAATCCATTTAATGGACATTGTCATCATACAATTATGCCATTTAATTAAAAAAATGACAAAAAGGACACTTTTTCCTTAAAATACTGTGATTGGAAGGGATGAAATTTGCATTGCACACAAAAAAGGCCTTGTCACAGAAACTGAAACAAGTAAAACATCTATGATGCAAATAACACAAGTCATTATTTTAGAGAGTGTCACATCTTATTTACACTCTTTTATGTTAGCAGGGGATTTCTTGGAATTCCTTCACCTATACCTGTATAAAAATACTAGGGCAATGACCATGCTTATAAAATTCACAATTGACTTTACACTTTTCATTTCTCACCATGACCTAATACCCCATATAAAAGGATAATAGAAGCTTAAAGTGGTAGAAGTGTCATATCCACAGCAAAATAATACACAATATCCTGTTAAAACAAATGACAAGGAGGAGCAGTGGAGACGGAAACCAACAAAATCCGTCTGACTTTCTAAAACGAAGTTTAAACTCTCATAGCTGCCCAAAGCGAGAAGCTGCTCCCATTCTGAAAAGATTCATTCTACTTTGAGCCAAAACCACAAGGCTGAAAAAGTGCTTAAAGAGTATCTTTGGAAGTCTCCCTTACACACCTTTGAAACAAAATGTTAAAATGATCACTACTGTGACATTCTGTTTTTGGAATAATCAATTAAAATCCTTTTAGACTGGTGTCTGGAGTTGAACTGAACCATTCAGTTCAGACAGCAGTTGTTGAGTCTGTGGCCTGTAGGTTTAATATCACTAAGAGCTAAAGGGACAAAGACAATATCAGACTCAAATGTCCTCCGAGGTCTCTTAACACTTATCGTGTTCTTCTTTTTTTTTTTTCAACGGAAGACCATCGCAGTGAACAAAATACCTTTTAATGGAAGAGGAACATGAGGGGGGAAGTTCAAATAAGTGAAATGCGTATGGGGATGCTGGGAGATTCTGTTCTCTGTGGGGAATGGTGGCTGACCAGATGCTCCACCACGGTGTGTTTGGACATGTGCTTCATAAGGTAGGTCTCCTGAAAAAAAAAAAAAAGCAGAAGCTGGTGTTATAATATGAAAAAAAGAGGAGGGTCCCATATTTTCCCATAGGTTAATGTGGACTGATACTCACTGAGGTGTATGCACGACCACACATGCTGCAACAGTATGATTTAGCGTTCTTAATGGCATGTGCAGAGAGATGGATCTGTAAGGAGGCTGAGTCTGTGTATGCGCGGTAGCAGTTCGGACACTTATATGGCTTGTCTTTGTTATGTTGTCTCTGGTGAGACTGAACAGGAAAAGAAATGAGGAAGAAAGTTTAACACCTATTATGACTCAAGTGTCATGCAATATAAAATACTGTACACACACACACACACACACACACACACATATATATATATATATATATATATATATATATAAAACACATTACTGTTCAAAAGTTTAGAGTCGGTAAGATTTTTTAATATGCTTTTATGCTCCATTACTCCAGTCTTCAGTGTCACAAAATCCTTCAGAAATCATTCCAATATGCTGATTTGCTGCTCAAGAAACATTGAAAATTGCTTAAAATTATGATACATTTTATTTAAGTTCAAAAGAACATTTATTACATATATAATATTTCTATTTTTGTATTTACTGTCACTTTTGAT